ACATCAACGCCAGGACGATCAAAAAAGTTGCTGAGGCAAAGGCGCGTAAAAAGAGACGACGAGATCTGAAGCTGAACATGGCGAAAAAACGAGCTGAGGGTATTCTGGCAAGTGAAAATATGGAACAGGCCGAAAAAATTCGCGAAGTGAAAAAGTAAATTCGATACTTTTTTCGTTTAATTCATTTTAATTCCTAGGATATTATTAATCTCATAAATGGTGGGCACTAATATCGCCTGGAGAAGCAGTGTAGAAATCAGATGTACTCAAATTCTGCGTAGAAATACCTTAGGCTTTTTTATGCTTTGGGTTGCATGCCTCTACTTTGCATCTATGTGCCCGCCGTGGAGATAATGACGGATTTTGGGGATATTGAATTCGAGCAAGGCACTTTTTCAGTATCTTTTGCGAAAAATTTGAAATTTTATTCGCTATTCTTAAATTTTTTGTTTTGAAGGTTATACCGTAAGGCAACTGCTGCGGCATCAACGAAGAAGAAGGTTACGTATGCGGTAATGACGAAAGGGAAACGTGGAACTTTGGCCAGACCAAAAGGACCGTACAAGGTAAAATTTTCTTTCATAACAGAAGAGGTGTATGTCAGGAATACCAAGACTGCTCGAACAATCATACTGAAATGCTTTTACATAGCGAAAGCAGCTATGTTAGCCCATTCTCTCCAGAGCTGCATAGTACCATCAAGTATTTACTGCCTGTTCTCTGTATGTGCACCATCTACGCCATCGTTTTGGGGCTGCCGGAATAGTCGCTTACTTTCTTGCGGGTACTGGTTGTCGGCAAAGCGAGCAATATGTTCTACCTGTCGCTTTCATTTTTTTGCTTGGTCACAGTGATATCCTGCACGCCGCTCATCTGACGGAGAATCTGATTGTTTTGTACAGCTGAGATGAGATATATGAGGTATCTTTCGTTCCATCGGTTTTTTCGTCACACATGAGATAAATAATAATTTTAAAATCTGTGGCAAGAAAATCTTTTTAGCCGCATTTTATTTGTACTTTTCGATATGTCGTTCTGTTGGGAACTAATGCCCTCTTTTAAATTCTAGGTAGTAGATGCTCGATTAAAGAAGGATAATCGGCGTCAGAAGCAAATGGAAAGGAAAAAAGGCCCGGGTGCTCGCAGACGCGGAGGACGCCGGAAACAAAGGTCAAATTGAAATTGAATTATCGGTGCTGTTTTTGGGCAGTGTGTTGCTCCGCTGTTTTTGTTGTGATTTTTTCTAAATAAATAAAATAATTAAGTTCACTCGAACTTTGGTGCAGCTGAGGGACACTTGTACAACCGGTGCAGCTATGCCTAGTCTTTATGAATCTAGAAAGTCAAAATAGTGTATCGAAACCCACCTGCAACACTTCTTACATAACCTATATTGAAAGCGGGAGTGATAGCTGTATGTTTCCAACCCGTGCGTATTTTCATCATCATGTACATGTCTCGCTCTCGCTATCTTGGAAATCGCGCGGATTGTCTGTTGCATGTACCACACAAAATTCTAAATCGAATGGACTGGATTTGGGAGGGAGAGGGGACGAGGGGAAGAGGAATTTTGCATAAATTATATAGGGAAGCGCGAATAGGAGGAAGGAAGAATTCTGCATAAAAAATATTCAAAATTGCTATTAACTATAAGTTGCTTTGATCAGTGCTGTATTGTCCAGTGCCGGTCTGCTACAGGCGGTTATGGTATTTATTTTATTTGCGAATTTGACAATTTCAACACAACAACAATGAAATATAATTAAAAAAAAAAAAAAAAAAAAAAAAAAAAAAAAAA